AGCTCACCGCCAGGGAGCTCGTCACCAAGTAGCTCACCGCCAGGGAGCTCGTCACCAGGTAGCTCACCGCCAGGGAGCTCGTCACCAAGTAGCTCATCACCAGGGAGCTCCACCATCCTCTCCTGGGAGCAGGTCAAATGGCGAGGCACTTAGCCAAAAAAAATGATACATCACAAAAAATTGGTACGTGACCAGAAACGGTTATATCAATTACAATTACTGTAAGTTTTTCTTGAAATTGATGCCAAGAATGGGATCACTACCATTCCACGTAGGGGCTGAAGGCAATGAAGCTAGGCCAGAGAAGAAGGAGAGAGAGAGGGAGAGATGATGGAAGGGTTTATTGTTGCAACGAGTTGCAGCGGTAGTGATGAAACAAAGGAAAGAATGAAGGGGAAGAAGGAGAGAGAGATAGAGAGAGGAATCAGAAGTGGAGGGGTCCGCTATTGCAATGAGTTGTAGTGGTTGTAATGAAACAGGGGAGAGAATGAAGAGAAACCGAGGAAGGAGGAGGAGAGAGAGAGAGGGTGGACTAAAGATAAGGGTAAAGCTAATCAATTGTTATAAATAATAGGGGTAGTGCTGGACAATAGTGAAATAGTAGGGATATACTTAGTCAATTGGTTAAACTATAAGAGTAGTTTAAGAAATTAACCCTTATTTTTTCTATAATTTAGCTTAGGGGTAAATTTGAAATTTCCATCTTTTTCGTATTGTAATTTAACATTAATCTCAATTGTAAAAAAACTTAAGGGTAATTAAGGAAATAAGTAAATAGCAATTCCATTTCCTAAACGTTAGGCTCTATTTGGTTTGTGGGATGGGGATGAGAAAAAGGGAATATTATAAAAATATTCCATTTTCTCATATTTGGTTTGAGGGAAAGAGGGGGATGGGGTGAGAAAAGTGTGGGATATTAGATCCCAAAATCATGGATTTGGGGTCGCACACACCAAAACCGTGCGACCCCAGTGGAAAAATGTAAGAAACCATTGTTCATTCTCTCTTTTGGCGAAACCAGTGACGATGGCACCCTTCCCCATTCGAACCTAGAAACAGAGCAACGGTGGCGACACCCCCTCTCAGCTACTCCCTTCCTCCCTCTCTCCTCTCTTCTTCTCTTTCTTCTTCTGGGTTCGCAGACTCAGATCTAACTTCTGCCATGGTAGAACTCAGATCTAGGTTTGTAGACACAGATCAGAGACACTCCCTTCCTCCTTCCTCCTTCTCTCCTCTCTTCTTCTCTTTCTTCTTCTGGATTCGCAGACACAAATTTGGGTTCGTAGACCCAGATCTAAGTTCTTCCATGGTAGAACTTAGATCTGGGTTCGCAAACACAGATCGAAGACACTCCCTTCCTCCCTCTCTCCTCTCTTCTTCTCTTTCTTCTTCTGGGTTCGTAGATACAGTCGCAGACACAATGTTTTCTTCTCCCTCACCTTCTCTTCTCTTCTCCTTGAAATAGTGTTTTCTTATGTACAAAACCAAACAATGGAAGAATAGATTTTTACACTTTCCCATCCCATCCCATCCCATCTCATCTAAATCTTCTCACAAACCAAACGGAGCCTTAGGGATAGTTTAAAGATTTCCCAAAAGAAATTAACTTTAGTGGATTAGGGCATTACGGGTATACAACAAATTAAAAAGGGCATTATTGGACGATAAAGATTCGATCCTGGGCTAAAACTAAAGCAGTAAGCTTGAAACTCAAATTCGATCATCGACTAAACAGTAAGCGTGAAACTCTCTCCCTTTTCTATGTATCGAAAACCTTAGTTCTTCACTAAATTCATGTCCCTTCCTTTCTCCAAATCCTCCGGCCATGTCGGCTTCTTCTATAATGGAGTCACTGTTCCAGCGCTCCTTAGACGATCTAATCAAAGGCATCCGTCTCCAATTGATCGGAGAATCGAAGTTCATTACTAAAGCCATGGAAGAGATACGGCGAGAGATCAAAACCACTGACTCCCAGACCAAGGCGGTCGCTCTTGAGAAACTCACATATCTAAATTCCATCCATGGCATCGACATGTCGTGGGCAGCCTTCCATGTCGTAGAAGTCATGAGCTCGTCCCGTTTCGCCCACAAAAAGATCGGATACCTCGCTGCCTCACAATCCTTCAACGAGGGCACCGATGTTATCCTCCTCATCACCAATCAGCTCCGAAAAGACCTCACCAGCACCAATGAATTCGAAGTAGGTCTTGCACTCGAATGCTTATCTGTTATTGCCACAACCGATCTTGCTAGAGACTTGACACCAGAGATCTTTACATTGCTTTCTAGTAGCAAAACTTTTGTTAGAAAAAAGGCTGTTGCTGTAATTCTGAGAATTTTTGTTAAGTACCCAGATGCTGTAAAGGTATCTTTTAAGCGTTTGGTTGAGAATTTGGAGAATTCAGATCCTCATGTGATGTCTGCGGCAGTTGGAGTCTTTTGTGAGCTAGCCTCAAAGGACCCGGACCCCAGGTTGTATCTCCCGCTAGCGCCAGAATTTTATAGGATTTTGGTTGATTGTAAGAACAATTGGATATTAATTAAGGTGCTTAAGATTTTCGCAAAACTGTTACCATTGGAGCCAAGGTTGGCAAAGAGGGTTGTTGATCCAATATGCGAGCACATGAGAAGAACTGGGGCTAAATCACTAATGTTCGAGTGCATTCGAACTGTGGTCACTACTTTGACTGACTATGAATCTGCAGTGAAGCTCGCAGTTGAGAAGATTCGGGAATTGTTGGTTGATGATGATCCAAATCTTAAGTATCTTGGGTTGCAGGCGCTTTCCATTCTTGGGGCTAAGCATTTATGGCCAGTGTTGGAAAACAAGGATGTTGTGATAAACTCTCTGAGTGATGCGGATCCAAATATTAAACTCGAGGCTCTGCATCTTGTGATGGGTATGGTGTCTGAGACCAATGTTGCTGAGATCTCCCGAGTTTTGGTTAACTATGCACTTAAGTCTGAACCACAGTTTTGCAATGAGATTTTAGGATCTATCCTGTCAACCTGTGGTAGAAATTTTTATGAAATTGTTGTTGATTTTGATTGGTATGTTTCGCTTCTCGGGGAAATGTCAAGGAACCCACATTGCCAAAAAGGTGAAGAGATTGAGAGTCAATTTGTTGATATTGGTCTAAGGGTTAAGGATGCCAGACCGGAGCTTGTTCGTGTTGCTCGTGATCTTCTGATTGATCCTGCCTTGCTTGGTAATCCATTCTTGCATAGGATATTGGCTGCTTCTGCTTGGGTGTCTGGAGAGTATGTTGAGTTCTCAAAAAACCCATTTGAACTTATGGAAGCACTGCTGCAGCCACGCACTAGTCTTTTGCCGCCATTAATAAGAGCTGTTTATATACACTCTGCATTTAAAGTTCTGGTATTTTGTCTTCATTCTTATCTTGTGCAGAGGGAAGTAATTCATCCATCGTCTGTTGATGATTTGGCAACAGGAATGCCTGATTTGGGTTTTGGCATAAAATGCGTGGAAGTTTCTGATATTGCAAAATGCCAATCTGCTGCTGATTGTGGACATGATGATGAATTCAACCCAAGGGTTTCAGACATATCAGTGGAAGATTCCACTATGGAAACTACGAGGGATATAACTGTTCATGAGGCATCTTCATCAGTTTCTTTACAGAAGGAACCTTTTACTCATGAATCTATTCTTAATCTGTTAAATCTGGTCAAAATGGCTTTAGGTCCACACTCAGGAACTGATGAGGTAGAAGTGCAAGACAGGGCACAAAATGTACTTGGCTTTATTAAGATGATAGAACAAGAGTTACATGGTCTTTTGGGTGAAGAGAAAGGGAATTTTGAGATTGGAGAACATAAAGTCCCCAAAATTATTGAACTGATGTACAATGCCTTCTCCAAGGAGCTGGGCCCAGTCTCAGTGAGTGCTCAGGAAAGAGTTCCAATTCCTGATGGGCTTATGCTGAAAGAAGATCTTTCTGACTTGGACAATATGTGTGCAGATGTTCTTAAACCTCCATCAAGTTCTTTCACTACTGGAAATCCTCAGTTTGGAGAGAGAGAAGGTGATTCCTTTTTTAACCTGCATGGAAAGGAACCAGAACCATCAACTGAGTCAACATTGTTGCTTGCGCAACATCGGAAACAGCATGGATTATATTATCTCCCTTCAGATAAGAACGAAACTGTATCCAATGATTATCCACCTGCAAATGAACCCCCATTGTTGTCTAATCTTGTTGATGGTACTCAAGATCTTATGAAGCTTACAGAGCAATCATTAGCATCAAAAAAGAAGTCGAACCATGCAAAGCCACGGCCTGTGGTGGTAAAGTTGGATGAGGGAGATGAATTGCCTGTTTCAGCCACAAAACTAACAAAAGAGTCAAAAGATGATTCACTCTCAGGTGCTCTTCGAGACATTCTTCTAGGTGATAAGGTGAATCCCATGTCATCCCAAAGACAACCCTCTGATAAATCATCTGGGAAGAGAGAGAAAGAAGCTTTAGTTGATAGTGGATATGCTTCCAGGTCAAAGCAAAATCTTGGTGATGCACAACCTAGCCATGGAAGCTCAAGTTCTAGAAGGAGCAAGCATCGTAGTCATGGTAAAGAGAAACAGAGAAGTCCTAGAAGGAATAATGAGGGTAAAGAAGATACTCAAAAAGACAAAAAGAAGGGTAGTCATCACCATCGTAGACATAAGACTCGGCAAAGAGCAGATGGGCCTCCAAATGTGATTTCACAAACTCCAGTTATCCCAGATTTCCTCTTGTAACATTAAAAGTTGGTGAGTGAGTCTGTTTTGAGTTTAATTACTTTTGTATTTCGTGTGACTCTGTCATGTTTCCATCCTTGTCAGTTCTATGTAGAGCAGATACTTCTTGTTTCTCATATGGATGTCAAATTTTCTCAGAGTTTATAGGATCGATCTTTCACATGTATTGAGACCATTTTGAAATGATACATTCAATCATTGAGGCTTGTTAATGTGTTACAAGAACATATATTGACTCTTTTATTTGTTATTTTGAATTACTTTATTTTATGATTTGAAGCTATTTACTAAAGAATGTGGAGTGATTTGGATTGATATACCTTGGCCTCATGTATGCCACAAAGTAAATTTTACCAAGAAAGCACCCTTATTTATGAACACCAAACATAGATATTGACATATATGATCCTCTTCTATGATCACTTTTCATTGGATTGATACCTTGTTGCAAGATAGAAATAAGCATGAATACCCCCTTGACAATAAGATATTGGTTATGCCTCCAAAATATAAGCACCCTCATTTACAAACACTAAATACAGTTTTACTATTTCATTTTGACATGGTACATATTTCATTTTGAATGAAATCAGCCTTTGGACTTTGTTATGGTCTTAAATGATAATGTGCTTGGCTTCACGCGTTCCAATAGTCTTAAGGCTATTTGGTATATTGGTCAAGCATGTAACAAATGATATCAAAACCTACCAACATGTCTCAAGTTGGAATCATGGAGAGGGCTACCTAGAATAGAGTGAAAGGTACCACAGAAAGGGCTACTTGGAGCAGAGTGAAAGCCACCAGAGGGAAAGGGCTACCTATTGCTAGAGTGTGAGCCCTTGTGGAGAGGGCTACTTGCCACTAGAGTGATAGCTGCCCAGAGTGAAGCCGCTGAGATGCTGGCCGTGGAAGCATGGTGGTATGCTATGGTCCTAAATGATAAGCGCTTGGCTTGACACATTTCAACAGTCTTAAGGCTTTTGGCATATTGGTCAAGCACGCAACAGACTTCCAAAGCAAAAAAGGTAGTAGCTTGATCTTGGTGCTACAACCTTTTCTTTCTTTTTTTTGAACTTCTTTCTCTATTAGTTTGTTGAGTTCCATAGCTGGTATAGTAGCTATTTTCTTCTTTATTGTCTTGGAAAATTTCACTTATTTCTCTGCTGAAGTCTATGTTCAGCATTACTAGCTTGAACCCCCTATGTTTAAATTCTTAAGTCTATGTTCAGCATTTTTCCTTATTTCATCCTTAATGCTCCATTTTTAAATTCTTTTAACTTAGCTTGAACCCCCCTATTCCATCATGCACAAATTGGTTCACCATTATCTCTGCTTGGATTCAAGGTCACCAATGATCATTTTCTACATTAGTGGCTAGTAGTTGCCATTAGAAAAGCTATGCAAGTGTGGCCTAGAGTTTTCAATTTTTGCTTTCTTAAGACAAAAGGGAAGTTACAAGAATGATGATGTGATTTGCTTTCGGATTTTGTTCTATATTAATAGTGAAAAAAGTAAAATTAGTATAGCATCTTTGAAGGAGAACCCAATCTTACCATGATCCTGATGTTTGCACTTAAGATTTGGGCCAGAGCCCAAATGGGAGCCCATCTCAATCCAGAAATGCATTGTTTGAACTTTAAAGTTTTTCTTATTAGCCTGATTAAAGTCTTGGTTGACCAAAGGCTAGTCCATACCTGATTCTACTGACTTTAGATAACCCTGAGCTGGTAGGTATGAAACTTGGGTTAGGTTAGGTTGCCTCTTTAAGTTAGGCAACCCAATTTATACCCCTATAAGGCAGCCAGACCAAGTTGGCTTGGCCCAAGCTGGTCCATCCTAGTTCAACCAGATTGGGCCATTGAATCCAACTCTAGTGGGCAGGCACATTACTATGAAACTGTGTTATCAGAGAGCCAATTATGGTTGGTCAAAGCTGATGCTTTATGGGCTTGTTTTAACTGCCAACATATATATTGAATATGATTTTAGAACTGCCTTTTGAAACCTATAAGACTGTTAGAAAATTTTTGAAGAGCATAAAATTATTGGGTGTTAATGAAATTGCCTGGACTTGAGTCTTCTAACTGTATTTTTCAGAACTGGGGTTTACAAAATGAAACATTTGAGGGCATTTTGTTGAAGGTTGTATGGTGGATTGGACAGGATTGATAAGATCCCAGAACTTTTCCAAGTCGACAAGGGTGGTCAGCAAGTGCTATTTGGCTGATTTTGACACTTTATTGACAGTATATGCATAATGCATTCCAAAGGATGAGAGGGGTGGACTTGGGAATAACCACATTGGACAAGCAAGCCAGTGCTCTGTATGGTTTGGATGTGTGCTTATTTTTAAATTACATTTCTTTTGATTTTTTGTTTTTATTTTTTTTGGTAATTTGCATGCAATCTTTAAATGAGACTCTTTTTGTTTCATTTCAAATTGCTTTTTAATTTTTTAATTTCAGTTGTCTGTAAGACGTAAGCATCATCTAAAGGGGGTGTTTACCAATGTGTATAATTTTCCTTTCCAAGTTGTTTGAAATACTGACCATAGACACATTGGCAAACACCCCCTAATTGTTCTAGTCCAAATTTGAAACCCAATCCAATTTAGGTTTGAATCCGGCAAAGCTACTAATACATTCATATAAGGTTAACAAGGGAGAGTTGGCAGTATTATGAATCCTGAGGCTTTTACTATGGACCCCAACACAAAATGCCTTCATGCACACCAGACTCTCAATAATCACTGCCCTAGAGCTTGTGAATTGTTTAAGCCTTCTGCATGAAGGGTCATATCCTTATCATGTCCCTTTGGTAATGTGACTGATACATGCCTTTTGCCATGTTTGGTTAGGTGACATTTACGTCACCCTTCTATTTTTAAGTATTCAACAACAAGAAGAAGAAATGTTTGGGAAGGCGTATCGAATGGAGTGCCCCCATCCCCAAAAAGCATATTTTATTGAATTGGGCAAAGTTATATACGATTACACAAATGCCACTTATTAGTGGACAAATAACAGGATAGCCTATATACATCCTATTGAAATATAATAATACCCACCAAACATAAAAAGGAAATAAAATAACATGAATACATACAACTCTATCTACACTCCCCCTCAAACTGATGTGAGGACAACATCAGTTTGCCCACAAGGAATTCATGGCATGTACAAGTCATGGCTTTAGTGAAGATATTACTATGCTGCAGCTTAGAGGAGATATGAGGAAGTGTGATTGTCCGTGCTATAAATTGATCATGAATGAAATGACAGTCAACCTCAATGTGTTTGGTGCATTCATGAAAGACTGGGTTGGAAGCAATGCGAATGGCACTCATATTATCATCTTATAAGGGTGTAGGAGTAGTGGGGGGAAATGAAGTTCCTAAAGAAGGCCCCTAAACCACACTATTTCACAAGTAATAGACATAGCTGGATATTCAGTTTGAATAGAGGATTTGGATACAATACTTTGCTTCTTACATTTTCCATGAGATAAGGGAATCCCCAAAGAAAATGCACCACCCAGTTGTAGATTGACGTGTATTTAGACATCCTACCCAATCAGCATCAGAGTATTCTCGAAGATGAATCAAAGATGAAGAGGGAAGAACAATCCGTGGTCAAGAGATTCATGGATATACTGGATAATCTTGTGAATCACAATGAGATGAGGATGATTAGTGGCAGATACAAACTGACTAACCACTCGAATAGCACGAGCTTTGTCTAGGTGGGTCACAATGAGATAAATAAGACTCTCAATCAGTCTACAATATAGAGTAGGATTTTGTAAAAGTTCTTCGTAGATCATGAGATAGTTTCACATTGAGTTCCATAGGGGGATCAACTTGCTTGGAGTCAGTGATATTATCTAGTTGAATTAGGTTTTTAGTGTATTTTCTTTGATTCACAAAATGACCTCTTTTAGATGACTACGCCTCCAAACCTAGAAAATATGTCATAATACCGAGATCCTTCATCTTGAAAGAATGCTAGAAAAATAATTTGAGTTGTTGGATCTCTTCAAGATCATTGTTGGTTCGGCTGTCTTAATTTGTATGTTTATCCTTGTTGGGTCTTAAGTCATTAGTTATTGGGCCTAATCTTATTTAGTGTTTATTTGACTAGGTGTCCCTCCACTAATCAGGGGCATTCT